CTTTTTATGTTTATTGTTGTGAGCTTACCCTAGTGTGTTTTCCCTATGTGGTTGGGACTGTGATGACCATACCTTGGTATGTGAGCAGATCAAGAGTAGGTGCTCTGCTGGACTGAGTGAGCTTCTTTTTGGTTGGGACTCAGGAGGAGGGCTGACGTTGTATTTAGTTGATTGGTAGCTTTTGACTACCTAGTTGTTGTATATGATATTATTTCCCTACTTTAGTTATATATATTATGATTTTTTTTTGTTGTGTATTCTCAATATATATATATAATTGTTTAGTAGTGAGATTTTATTTTTATACTTGTATTTGGACGCTATAGGCAGTGTAAGACCTGGTGGGTCGTTACAATAACCAAATCAGTTTTTATCCTTGCATTGCCTAACAACTCAAAACATCATGACACCGTACATATCCTTTTAACAACTTTCAAAGAAAATGATACCTAGAGAGTTATACACATCCAAATGATCTAAAACCTATCCCAAAAGAAAGCTAAGAGAATAAGCTACAACTCTTATGAAGGCATGAGATTCTAAAAAGATCATCTTCTTATCTAAGAATTAAAAAACCCAATAGATATATTCAATGCTTACAACTAGACCTCTGATCATTAAAGCATTTATAATTAAAGTTCTAAACCTTCGTTTTACCTGATTCCAATTCCATTGAAAAGATAACATCCAAGGATACAACTTTCATGAAGACAACAAAATCTAACTCTATTAATAAGGTACTCATACTGGCACAACAAAACTACAACAAAAACATCCCCTACACCAGATAGCAATAGTGTACTAACATCCCACAAATATAGCTTAACCCTTCCAAACTCACTCCTTTCCACCTTAAACTCATATCTAAACTTCCTACTACAATCCTAAACTCAAGCAACTCATATATTCAACATAAAAGACTTCGAAAATAAAACTCACATGCTACCTAAACTATAAAAGGTTAACATTCGAGCACCAACTCTCAAGGAAATTACCAACATTTCAATCTCTCATCAAGAATACCAAAACTCCAATTCTCAACATACAACCTCCTTGGGTTCAATCGCTACAACTATAGATTTCAGAAACTCCATCAACCATAAACTCTCAATACACTCGACAATTCAATGTCTCACCCACACCCAAGGTTCCAATAGTTCTAGTTGGTTAGCACAATGTTTCGTCCACTACTACTTGCACCTATGCTTGCAACACGAGCGATACCACCCAACCACTACTTCTTACATAAGTAAGAAGTATCAAAACAAATAAGAAATCATAGGAATGAAGAAAAGTAATCATAAATAGCATAATCTAAGCTATATCATGCCTATCAGCTAATTTTTGAGAAAACGGTACACAGAAACATAATCAATCATCACACTAGCATAACAATAGGTTACACAATCAATTCATTCCATCATTGATCTACCAAACAAGCATAGTAGACTCATACCTCACGGACGATTGGATCGACCTACTCTGATACCACTAAATGTGATACTCTTACTACCTCAACACATATATTGTAATAATGTAAATAAACTAAACAAATCATTTTTTTCGACATTGGTAATAGGGTTCACATAAAAACCTTCATAAATATTCTTCAATATAAAAAATAATTGAAAATAAAAATTGGAAAATAAATATAAGAGTTTACAAATTGTTTCCAAAATAATAAGTACAACTTTAACTAAATATAAAAATCCATGTCCTAGAAATCCTTTGCCCCAATGTCACAATATCATAGCACACCAAAAATTCAATTGTTGGCGTTCTAGATGCCACTCAAAGTCAGATCTTCCTCACCTAAAAGGTCCACAAATTGTATGGTGAGAAAGGAAAACATCTATATGTAAAGCACACAAGGAAAATCCACAACATAATCTCATCATAACTCAATGACATATTTACAAGCATTTCTATATATCTTAATTCTATCAATCATACATCATCTTCACATCACAATTCACAATCACACCAATCCATCACAAATCTTGCAATTAAAACTATGCCAAGGTCACACCACCCTTGTAGCATCTCTTTTCCAAGGTCGTGCCACCGCTGACATAAGTGTTAATTAGTTCACACATCCCACACTATGCCAAGGTCACGCCACCCCTATAGTATCTCTTGCCGAAGGTCCTGCCACCCCCGACATAAGCGTGAGGAATCACACATCCCATACTATGCCAAGGTCACGCCACCCTTGTAGCATCTCTTGCCCAAGGTCGTGCCACCCCCGACATAAGTGTGAGGAACCACAATCATATCATATTCACATTCAACACAACATCTCATTTCATGCCAACATACTCACATCATAATTAATTGAACAATTAAGCCATAACATGAGCAACATCCCAATTAATCCAATTATCATCTAGATCATAAATTTTACCAAATAATATAAGAATAACATTATAAATCAATATGAAACCCAATTGAATCATTAATTTCATAGAATCTTAACTTAAATAGTAAAACCCTCAATTTTTTCAAAACCTAACTCATAGACACTTTTCTATAATTTCGTTCTCTCTCCAAGATCATCATTTTTACAAATTAATTACATATTCCTAATCCTCAATACATACAAAATTTAATGGGATCATTAATTTCTCAAACAAAAATAATTCTAAAATTACCCATAATCGTACGGGATTCCTCCTCTACCTCATTCCCTCATGTAACTTTGCATACAAATAATCCTTTTTCCCCCATACCTCGCTAGACAGTAGCTGAAACTAAAGCAGGATCTCGTTAGTATCCTCCTCTGGGTTTCCCTCGGTCTTCAGAGAGTGAAGAAGGAAAAGAAGTCAGAAGTGAAAAGTGTGCTTATGGGAGTGACAGAGCGTACTATTTATAGGCATGAATAGTGGCCAGAATGGCCCATTTTGAATCCAGAACGACCCATTTTGGACTTATTCATCATGTATAAAATTCACATCCAGAACGGCTCGTTCTTAAACTAGAACAACCCATTCTTAAATTAGAGTGGCCTGTTTTGGAGTTACATTTTAACCCATAACGGCTATGTTTGGAATGACCCGTTCTTAAACCAGAATGACCTGTGCCTAACTAGGGTTACAAGCCTAGCCTTTTTGGTGATTTGGATCGCCCCGTTCCAGTTGGGAACGAACCGTTCCCAACTATGGTTTATAAGCCTTTTTAGTAGTTTGGAACGACCTGTTCCAGTTTGGGAATAACCTGTTCTGGGCTACTAAATCACCCTTATTGGGCTTTGGGCCTTCATATAATCTGTGGAAATCGGGTTGTTACAGAGATAGGCCCATCAATTAAATTCCCTACAACTTACGAAGTATAAATCATACACATATTATGAATTTTCTAGCGTATTGTAGTAAGGGAACAATTTTTGTGAAATCTATTGATGCTTCTAGTGTTGCACTAGAAATATTGATTACTACTTTCAGTTATTGGATAAGGTTTTGGAGGAATTGGGAAGAATTTGTAATTTAGGTTGTTATAGCTTTGAACAAAAAGTTTTGAAATAACCTACATAGGGAAGTAAGGTTAGCAACACGCAGAAATTTTTCAACTCACCCTTGTTAAATGGACAAGGTCCATCATTGTAAATTAAGGCATCCACTATAGCTTGGGTGATAATTGATTCCCAATCACCAGTGTATATATGTTTCTCCCTCCTCATTGCATCTAGAGTTGGTGGCAATGACTAGTGGGTGATTCTAATGGTCACGTTCTCCTTAAAACCTATACTTATGACTGAGCTATAAGTATAATCCTCGCAAATCCCTCATTAATCCTTCACAAATTAGGTAGGGAAATTTTATCTCACTAATAAGAGAATACATTCCGCCCAAAACCGTTGCAAATGTCTCACAAATTTAGAGCATAATTCCCTCTCAAATTGCTATTAAATCCCTTGCAAATCTTTCACAACACCAGTTTTAGGATTTTTTTTTGTTATCCTCTTATCTTGTCCAATATATACATATATATGTATATATATATATATATATATATGTATATATATATATATATATATATATAAAGAAGGATCCACTTACACTAAGAAGAAATCTTTGTAGACTTTCTTCACTCAATAACTTATAATCTACATCAAATTTTAACGATCCAATTATTAAATTAAAAGTTCTTAATGTATGGATTAAGTCTACATATTTTAATAAAATTAAAAATTATTTGATATTTCATTTTATTAATTAAAAAGTTAAGAGTTACTTAGTGTAGCTTGCTAACTTACTCCTTCGAAAAAAACAATTAGGTGCAAGCTAGCAAATGCTTGTAGGGTTTAGTAACAGACACCTACTTCAAAATAACTTATTGATCATCATTCAACTATAAAACAAGAACTTTCATTATGAAACTTGCACCCAGTGCCGCTACATGAAGCCCAATGCCTTTGAGGTAGGAGGCTCCATGGCAAAAGCTTATGCTTAATCGCAATGTGCAATGGTATCCACACAAATTCATACTCGAAGTTGTCCCATTAGCACTTGACATGATTTCAACCTAGGATGCGTGTCTCTCTTCATGCCCAACGTCATTCAAATTATGCCCACATGATTTCAACTCGAGAGAGTATCTCTCATCATGCCTAGTGTCACTAATCATGAACCTAATGTGAGAATGACAGAAACCCCCTGGTTGAAGCTACATATGGTGCCATGAAGGTGCACCTGATCTGATATCAATTCTACATTTATGTAGAACCTAATTTTTGGGTCATCTCATATGAAATTCAACAAATTTTAAACATGCATTGCATGAACAACAATTATACAAAATGAACAACATAATTTTACCACTTAAAATAACATAGATCCATTAGAATTAAGAATCACCTCTTCTTCTTTTGAACATAACCAAAAACCTAAACCCCACACATATTTCATCCTTATTTCAGATTCCAAGTCCAAAGGCATCCACGAAGCACAAAATCAAACTACAATTCATCATTTTGAATCAAACCAAACATAAGCTTCCTTTACCTCTTGTTGATCCAAATTCAAAAAGAAGAGAAGACAAACAAGAATGACATGACTTCAACTTGAGATCCTTAGCTTTGTAACTTTGAATCCACAAGCAACCGCTCAATCAACTATAGAAGGAGTAGAGAATCTCTCACTAGCTTCTCTTTACTTTTTCTTAAAACCTGAACTTATGAAATTCACGTCTTAAGAAAAATCTTATATATCCTTCCTGAGCTAACATTGTGACACCCTCTATAAAGTAAATATAAAATAGTTAGAGAATGATAACTAAAACCTTCATAATTAAAATAAAGTCTCAAAGAACATACGGTTTAAAGGTTCACACTCTTGTCTTAAACATTTTCATAATAAAGTAAATCAAATACCAAAATAACTTTAAGTAAATGAACATCTGTATCCTAATTCATGACTAAATATATAGCATAAAGAATCTGAATTACAAAAATAAAAGATCATATTCTATCCCTTTGTGTCACATATCCTAATCAGAGCTTCCCATCTAGGCATCACCATTAAACCCATCAGCATCAGGCTGAAAGTCACTACAAACACAATTGAAAAGCATATATAAGAACAAACAAGGGAGTGAGAAATGTCTCACTCAAGCTCAATGTACGAAAAGAAAATCTAGGTAACAACACACACAAGATAGCTATAAAATAAGAACACACGAGTCATCTAATTCAAACATGTCATTTGTCATGCAATGATGCCATGTACTCGACTTATGAATGTCGGCATGTGGCTTCAATCAATTATAACTTAACACACAACACACACCTGGAGCAGTCTAGGAGGACATGAAGGGCTCAACCCTTTAATTGCACTCTCAACTACAAGAATGTGTTGCTATGGTCTCGTTAGGATAACAAAGTTGTGCAAGATATGTCCCATGCACACAAATGGGCAGAATTGGGAATTCCAAACTACATTATCCACTAGGACTCCCCCGAGTTGTTACACAAGAAGGGTCTTCCCTAACTGTGAGCTCCACATCATACCCCGCACATAGATACATATGATGCATGTCACACAAATCTTAATGTCATAGACCCTTCACTTGACTTATCACATCACTTATTTACATATTCATGCTTCATCATGGTCATATACATAGTAGAGCTCATAATAACACAGTTCATAGGCAAAACATAGTTAAGAATCAATCATAAAATATAAAGGGTGTAGATGGGGTTGTGCCTAGTGCGTCCCAACTCATGCCTAATGTGAACACGCGCCTTTCATGACCTTGAGCATGCCCAATGTGCGCAACGTTGTGCCAAAAGCGGAGCATACACGCACAATAGCATAGGTCACGAACCTAGCGGAGTTACCCAGGAAACCCCTAGAGGCTCACGTCTGATGGGGTTCACCACATGCCTGGTGCGAAGACCCCTAGGTACCTTCGTCCCTAATTTGTGATATGTGCCCGGCGCACGTGGTGAGTTCCTGCCTAGCACGATGCATAAAACCTGCACTTCTAGAAAATGCAGATTCAAAAATTTTACATGTATTCATCAAATCTCATAATTCAATCGGTACAAGCATTCTACTATACATCTGGAACATGCAAAAGCATTCAATTCAAGCATATGAACATCAAATCATACCAATCAAGCATATCCCTAATTGTTTTCCCATAGGGTTTGCCATAGGAACCCATAAAGCACTCTAAAGCAAATCAAAACACATCAATTTATAAAATTAAACATACACACATACTCAAAATTCAACATGGAATATGCAAGAACAATCAAAAGCAAGAACAAAAAAAAATTGTACAAAACCCCTTCCCATAAGCATACATCATACAAAGGATTAGGGGGTCAATCCTACTACCTAACAGTTATTCCCGCACTCTAAGCGAGGTTTCTCACTCTCCCTTACCTTGATTAATCGAAGGCGAAGTGTGAGCAGTCTCTTGATGACCTTCGCCTCTTGGTTCTTCCGAGTCTTTAGAGCATGGAGATTACATAAGAGGAAACATAAGGCAGAAGTGAGAAGCGTAGAACAAACTTTGTAGTCCTATTTACTTAAAATAATAATAATAATAATAATAACAACAACAACAACAACAAAATTACTATTACAACCTCCTTTTCACCCTTTTATAAAACAATTAAAATAATCAAAATATAGTTCCTCCTTTTAATTAAAATAACATATGTTTAACCTTAAATAAAACACATTTCCATAAGAATCTATCTTATATCAAATAATTGAAACACCTATTAAAATCATGCCTTATATCAAAATAGAGTTCACATAAAATATTTTAAAATTTTAAAATTCTTCCAATAATTGCATTAAAATATGAAAATAATTATTAACGTATTCTTAATTTAATTTATAAAAATTGAAGTGTAACAAAGACAACTCAACTAAACTTGAGACTACCTTAAAAACATTGAACTCTTAGGGTCCCTTGACCACTAGAGTTCCAAACAGCACCTCTAACAACACATGATTTAATCGTACAATACATATAATTAAATTATAGCCCCACAAAAACAACATTGTTATAAGTATTACATTTTATTTAATGAGTTACATATATATATATATATATATATATATATGATTTTTTATATAAATATTAATTATATTTTTTTTTGGGATAACAATGTTATTGGTATGGAGAAACCAATTTGCTTAAGAGAATCCATATTAGTACCATTCAAACGGACAAATTGTTGGTAATTAATTAACTAATTTTATGTGAAAAAATTTTAGGTTTAAATATATTTTTAATCCTTTAAAATTAACTACTTTTGACTTTAGTTATTGTACTTTTTTTTCTTTATATTTTATTATTTAAAGTCAAAATTATTGTTTTTAATCTCTATTATTTTGTGATCTATATTCTTTATCTTTTTTAAAATAAAAATCGTCCTTTTTCATTATAAAGTTTACACCAACATACGAATCTATATACTGATTATTTAGCCCGGTCATCCATATACTGATTTTATTTTATCCAACTTAATTAAATATCGAACGTGCTATTTAAATACAGCCTTAAAAAAACGTTATTTAAATATCATAGTTTCATGCTTATGATTATTTTGCTGTCATATCTATATACTGATTTTATTTTACCCAACTTAGTTAAATACCTAACGTCGTATTTAAATACAGAGTTAAAAGAAACCTGTTATTTAAATATCATAGTTCTAATTCAAAAGATTATTAATCATGCCAATTAATAATTAACGGTTTCAATCAGTGACCAAAAGCACCAATGGCCAAAGTCGTGAATCACGTTTGCAGCAAAGGTGGGGAAATATATATTATCAGGTCATCTTTACCGACTCAAATTCTAAAGCGATCTCCTTTTTATTTTTATATTTTTAACTTTTTATGGGATGCGTAGAAAGTTGTTATTTATTTATCTTTTAATTTCTGTGTGCCCACAACTTTAAAGTATACTCATATATATATATAACCCCAAGTGTGTGGTTCAGCGGTAGGAGTTGATCCACGCTTAAGCAAGGTCAGGGGTTCGAATCCTGCCTTGTGTATGCAGCCGCGTTAAATCTTGGGGCCAGCTATCCCACCCTTTGAGGTGCCTACAACGTAGCGAGGAGATTAGTCACCGCTATCGGCGGTAGATACTCCAGGAATGAACAAAAAAAAATAATACTCATATATATATATATATATATATATATATATATAACTTTTAGTAAGTATTACACCGCTTAATAATTTTATATTAAATGTGAATTTTGTAAATTTAACCGTTAGATTGAAAGTTCATATCATTTTATATGTGTATATCAAATTTTGTTAAAATTGAACGACTTAAAGGTAATCAAAACATTCATATTTTAGTATATTTTGAAATGAATATATTATGATAATTTTTTTTTACAAAAAAGAAGTATTAAATCATCTTAGATTAATATAAAATTTTGTATATACGATATAAGAGATATAAACTTTCAATCTAACAGTTAGATTTACAAAATTCACATTTAATATAAAGTTATTGAACAGTGTAATACTTAGTAAAAGTTACACCGGTGTAATTATAACCCCTCATATATATATATATATATATATATATAATATTAAGTGGACTGAAAACATAAATCTAAGTTGGCAGTTAAGAAAATACTGCAAAATAGCTACGTAGTAGCCCAACAACTCCTCTATCTTGCAACATGACTCTCAAAAAGTGATCATCTTTTAGCTTATTCTAACCCTATTCACATGATAAGTATGTTTCATGATCATCGTAATCCAACTACAAGAAAAAATGCAGGGTTAAGCTTAACTTAAAAAAAAAATAGTATAAAAGTATTAAACTAACTATACAACTTTAGCATACAACATACACCTACAATTCAACAACACACTAGTGCAAAAGACGGATATTATGTCGGTTATTTAGGGATTTTTATGTTGGATATGGGTCTGACGTTAATGCGGGAGACGTAAATTTACGTTGGTTGTCATGGGTCGACGTAAATTTACGTCGGACGTTTCTAAGAACCGACGTAAAATTATGATGCATAAATTTACGTCAAACTGTGTTATGTTCGACGTAAATTTATGTCAGACTGTGCTATGTCTAACGTAAATATATGGGTTTTTTTTTAAAAAATTGCTTTATTATTAATACACCCAAAACCTGCATATATACAATCCAGAATCTAAATTCAACTAGTACACATAACCCAAGCAGTCCACAATAATCTCAAAATTTATATTTACAACGACTATCCTAAGAAAAAAAATAATGTATAAATAAAAATCATAATTTTAAACAATATAAATCCAATTATCCTAAAAAAATATACAGAACATAAGTTGCCTATTGCTATGAAACTATGAACATAATATCTAACTATCCAACTAACTAAACTTAGAAATCTAACTAATTTATAGTTTTAAGAAAAAAAGTTGTCCATTCCTCTCTGATCTTTGTGATATCTTCTTTGGCCAATGGAGATGGATCTTGAAAGAATTGAAACATTAATTTAACTGTTGTTAACATGTAATGTTAATTCTCATAAAAGTAAATATACTTAAATAAACGTTGAAATGAATTATCTCCACCCAAGAATCAGTAATACCTACAAAAAATTATGGCTCTCATCCAATACATGATGTAATAGTCACATTCAAACGAGTCTTGTTGCTTATTACACTAAAATGAGAAACAAATAACAATATTATTTTCGAAGTTGATAAATTCAAATATTATTGCCTCTATTAAATAATTTGCTAACCTTAGTGTGTATGAAGTTCAATGTCTTTGATCTGGCTCTTCTACTTAAAATATTAGTTCTAGACACGATTCTAATTAATTCAAATAAAAAATGATGTTAGCCAATATATATAGTTACAATTTTAAAACATAATGAAAAATTAAAGTTACCCTTGTAATTGGCTTTTCATTTCGTGGCTTGGTCTTCGATGTAGTGAACAAAATCACACCACGGTGTAATCCTTAGGAATGATTACAATTACCTGCCAATGGGACCTACATTGTATGACAAACAAATTAGTTATAAAATTACCATGATTAAAAAATAAATCAAAAAACTAACCCTTCAATGTGTGGAGCCATGTATATATGTCTTCTTGAGTCACTCATCCATGTTTGCATATATGCACTACAAGAAATGTTACTTTTAGTGACATAAAAAGTGTCACTATAGATAAAAATTATGTAGGTATAAACTTATTTGACATATACCCACACACAATTTTTGTGTTGATTTTGAATGAGATTTAACAACATATATTGTGTGTCACTATAACCTATAGCTACACTTTATAGCAATTGTAGGGATAAATTTACAAACATATACCAACATGTATTGTGTGTCACTATAACTTATACACATATTTTTAGGAATAAATTTATTAACATATACCAACATATATTATGTGTCTCTATATCTTATACCTACATTTTTTTAGGAATACATTTATTAACCTATGCCAACATATATTGTGTATCACTATAGCATATTTTTAATTTGCTTTTAAATTTAAATTCTTTAAATTGATTGCCTATTATTTTTTTTTTAATAATTTTAAACATATTCATCTTTAATATAAATGCTTTACATTTTACCTTTTGAATATATATTTCTTGCAATCTATATTTTCTTTTAAATAATTTTTCTCTGAAATTGTATTATTGAATTTTACCCAATTTTTTTCTTGTAATGCACTGATATATTGAATACTAACATTTATCTCTTGATTGAGCTTGCACCATTGACAACAACTATCCAATTTCTAGACTTGACATGATTATAAATTTTATTTAGCATGAGTAGAGTCTCCCTTAAGTATAACCGATATAAATTTTAAAATACATCAAAGAACATTTGAAAAGATAAAAAAAAAAAGAAAGATAAAATCCCCGTGGTGCGCTAGTTTTACTTTGTTTGTTTCAGGTGGAGGTGGATATATAATAATAATAGGGAGACAAGAAAGTGGGAATTGATCCCTGCCATGGAAATTAAGAAAAAGCAACCATTAGTGGCTAGGCTAGCTGTTACGAATCTTATCTTGATGGTTTCTTCAATTACAATTGGTTCCCACAAAGGATCACACTTCAGAACTAGATATTTATTTGTGTTTCATTTTTTAAATATCCTTGCCTTTTTCATCTTTCCCTTCCACACTATATATAAAAGACATCAAAACAATCTTGTGCATATCTTATATTGCACCACCCCACAATATTCTGAGTCTGAGCTTAACCCCCTTCAGTTTCTATGGACAAAAACAACAACAATTCAAACTATTCTATATGCAGGAAAATCCGTCATGCACTTACAAGCAATCCTGCAATCCAAGCCTAGAATTGGAAATATTAACAATCTGCATATGACAAAAAGAAATTATAATAAAATGATTTAATGACAAATAAAAAATATATAAAAAAGTCTAGAATTGGAAAACAAGATCTTATTAAAGTTCACCCCATACATAACAATTATAAATGATGTTAATGAGAAAGACAAATTTTAACTAGTATAAAAGAATATAGACCAATTTACAACATCATATATGTTTGTTAGTTAACATCCACTCTAGAAACAGATTCAGGTATTTAAATGTGAAAGCAATGTGTACTAACTATCTTTGTTCTTTGGTTCATTTTCTACAACACGAATGGGTAAAAGCAAAGAAATCAATTTGTTATTGTTCTGTTTCCATTGCTAAAATGGTGGGTGTGAGAAGGAACCGATCTGATTGGACATGGTGAATTATTATGGAAAGCTCAAAACCTTGTGGGATGAGTTAGCCAATTACCAGCAGATACCGACATGTATATGCAAAGGCTGCTCCTGTGATATTAAACACATCTTGAAAAACGAAGGGAGGAAGAAAAGGTGCACCAATTCCTAATGGGTCTTGATGACTCATTGTATGGTACAGTGCGCTCAAATTTACTTGCTGGTGATCCATTACCTTCGTTGAATCGCGTTTATGCGACTCTAGTGCAAGAGGAACAGATGAAGACAATTACTAGAGCCAAGGAAGAACGTGGAGCGGTCATGGGCTTGGCAATACAAACTGGTGCAGGGAAAAGAGGATGGGCTGATACAAAGGACAAATGAGCAGTATGTAAAAACTGTAATCGAACAGGTCACAAAGCCGAGTCTTGTTTCAAGCTGATAGGATATCCAGAATGGTGGGGAGATAGGCCACGAAATGTAGGGAATACCACTACTCGTGGAAAAGGAGCTGCAGGTCGTGGGAGAGGCATGAATATTCGTGCCAATGCTACCCAAACTACAAATGCAGGAACAAGCACTTTAATAACAGATGCAGACAAAGGTGGTTTGACAGGTTTGAGCAATGAACAGTGGAAGATGCTGACGAATATCCTAAATAGTCACAAGGAAAACACCAATGAAAGAATGACAAGTAAAGAGGCAACATGGATTATTGACACAGGAGCTTCCAATCATATGACAGGGAACTTGAGATCTTTGCATGAGATAAAAACTGTGCAAGGATGCCCTGTGGGATTACCCAATGAACAACAAACAATGGCAACTAATGAAGGGACAATCATTCTTGAAGGCGGATTGAAACTTGAAAATGTTTTATATGTGCCTAAATTAAATTGCAGTCTAATATTTGTGTCTCAACTGATAGATGCAACCAATTGTATAGTGCAATTCACTAATTCTCTGTGTTATGCAGGACTGCACTTCGAGGATGCTGATTGGTGTGGGTGAACGAAGAGATGGGCTGTACTACTTCAGAGGGATTCATCATGAAAATATTTTCAAAGTGAATGGAGTGTGTTCATTTGATCTTTGTAATCGATTACCAAGTCTTGTAATCGATTACCAGAGCCTATTATTCTGGACTAAACAATAACATTTGTCTTCTGAAATTTAATAACAAGTAACTAAGTGTGCTATATAATCCTATCAGATGCAAACAATCATTGAAAAATGCGTTTATAGTATGTTAATGGAACAATTATTGATTCAAGATCTTGCGTATTTAATTTGTACAATTAATCAACTGTATATAATAACTCATTACTATTGTCCAACATATTATATTCATATGTTCTCATATAGTAAAACTCTAACAGTAATAATTATAAAAATTGAATGATAAAAAGGTTATAAATACCTTCAGTAAATCAGAAAC